ACCTTCTCTGAATCCATGGTGACTACATCAAAAGCCCATCATTGCCCTTTTGGGTCCTTGAAGTACCCTCTCCTGAGGTAGTCTATGTCAAGGATACATGGGGCCTCTGGGCCGGCCACAATGGGGTGCTTTTGCCACTTGTCCCCTGTTAAGCTCACCTCAGCCTCCAATACAGACAGCTGTTGGGATCCCCCTGTCAATCCAGAAATCCAGATGGGTTCCTCCCTGCCATACCCTGATGGCATTAGGGTACACTGTACACCAGTGTCTACCAAAGCTTTATCCTTCTGTGGATCTGGTGTGCCAGGCCATCGAATCCACACAGCCCAGCAAACCCAGTCATCCCTTTCCTCTTCCTGGCCAAAGGCAGGGACCCTCTATCCCCATTTGGAGACCCCTGCAGTGTCAGACCAGAAGTCCCTTCACTAAAATCAAGGGAGGCACTCTTAGTCCTCTTCTATACCTGGGGAATGACTGGTTGCCTTCTACCATCTCAATAGCAGCTAAACTGACAGCCGTCTTGGATGGCCCTTCTTATCAGCTCTCTTCCCCCTCAATTTGTGTACATGGGCTCCTAACTTGGAGGTGGGCTCACCATCCCACTTCCTCATGTCCTCCCCCCGGTCACACAGGAGGAACCAGAGTGCCACGCAGTGTGTGCCTGGGATCCCTTCCCCTCTGGCTGGGGGGGCTGGATCTGCAGGGCGCCCCTGACACCTGAGACGCTGGCCTGTGGGGACGAGGAGGGAGACAGGTTTTCCTCAAAACATCGGAGCCAGTGGGATGCTCTCTCCACAGTTGGTGTATCAAAGTCTGGTCAGTCCATCATCTCCAGGCAGTTGGAATATAATGTTGGTGCATTTCAGATGACCCTTCTGCACATGCCCATGTACGCTGGACATCATCCAGATCTTTGGAGACCTGGTTGTCATCCAGGTCACTGTAGAAGACTTTCCAGCACTGCTAATTCTCTCAGATATCAGATGCCTTCTTCAGTGGTAGTGGCAGCAATCTGCTTGCCTGGCTGGCAGCTATAATCTTTCAGCATATCTCGAAGTTTGCCCAACATTAGGGACCGGCTAGTTTCTGCCTCTGGGGTGATTTCTCTCACTTCTTCCTCTTGCTTCCTTGCTGAAGGACCAGCTTCCTGATCAGACCCTTCCTCCTCCTCCTCCTGTACTAATCGATGGTATGGACCCATCGACCTCTGCATCCAGTGCTTCTTTTTGACTACTAGGGCAATTACTGTAGTTGGGGTTTGGTTCCCTATCTTATCCATGGTGTTCCCAGATGTGGTTTGGGTCCCTGTCTCAACCATGCTCCTCTGATGGTGCTGAAGAGGCATGAGGAAAGTCCCAGTGCAGTGCTAAGAGCTGCTGGGTTTCACTGGGGTAGGCAAGGCACCCTTCCGCCAAGTAGTGTGCAATTCAACGGGATTACATGCCTGTAGAGGTGTAAGATCCCAGGCTATGGGAGGTGATAACCACCCCAGGCACCTGCCCAAGTCCTGCCACACACCCTGCCACCCAGGGATCGATGGCCTAAAGGCACATTTCCTTGTCACCTCACCGACAAACTGTTTCCTCTTAACAGCAGACCAAAACCAGTTTCTACGCACACGACAAAAAGACAACACATTAATCAAGCAGCTTAGATAAGGATGTGCAAGGACCTCTGGAGCCCGTGCAACAAAGGCAGCCATGTCAGTCCTGGAGGGGAAGAGGGAATCCCTCACCTCTGAGTGCAATCCCTCACCTCTCTGCAGGACAGCCGACCCGGCACAGGAGTGATATGCGTGCCAGGGCCAAGCGCATGGCCATTGCTTTTATCAGAATGTTCCCAGGCACAGCTAAACATGGAGATAAGTGATGCAGCAAAGAGCAGGAGCTGAAAGCAGCCGCTGACAAGCCCTAGGCTCTATTACACGGTAAATCAAGTGAGCTCTGTGACCCACGAAGAAGCCTGCCAATTGACAGCTACCACAGCTATGGTATGCCCAGATCAAAACTGTCATCTTGTGCCCCACGTTGGGTGGCAATAAAAAGGACTGGTGGGTTGATCTTGGCCAGCTGCCAGATGCCCACCCAGATGCCTCCTCCTCCTCCTCAGCAGGACAGGGGGAGAAAATAAGATGAAAAAACCCCTCATGGGTCGAGACAAAGTCGGTTTAATAAGAAAAGCAAAAGCTGTGTGCACAAGCAAAGCAAAAGAGGAATTCATTCATGACTTCCCATCAGTAGGCAGATGTCCAGCCACTTCCTGGGAAGCAGGGCCTCAGCACGCATAACAGTGGCTTGGGAAGACAAACACCATGATCGTCCCTTCCCTGAGCTTTTATCAAAAAAGATGTGCAGCCTCTCGTTTGTGTGCTGTTTGCTGTGTGAAGCTCTGTGGATTGGATCAGAGGGCAGGGAAGTGTGATCTGTTGAACCCTTGGCAGGGACCCCACAGTGAATGAGGGTCTTAATGTGTGTGCGGGACAGGGGGGTTGTGTGTGCTCCTGTGCAGCCCAGTGGGTTTCTACTTGGGAAGAGGTTTAGCACCAGAGAGCACATGACTTGCGTTGGGCCACAGGAGTGCTTTGCACTTGGGAGAAATGCTGCCTGCAGTGCTGTTGGCCGGCAGAGTGCAGTGTGGGTGAGGCAACCTGCACCTGGGTTGGTTTGTTCAATCATCCAGTTGTTCTTGAGGGACTCTCCTGGGGTTTATTTCCAAGCCTGGAGTTCACGTCGTCCCCAGACGGACACTTCTGTTCGCGTCTGTCAGCTAACGAGGTAGGGGTATGTCATGGATCGTATCTTGAGCTGCTGTGTGTTGGTCCGGCACTGCAAATGCTGTGGATCTGCATATGCCAGGATGTTTCACAATGACTGCTCAGGAACTGTATCTTGAAGGGTTTGTACACTTTGGAAAAGAGGCACATCTGCATCTTTTTCTTGTCCCCAGCTCTGACTGGCAAGACCTGCTTGCAAAAGAGTCCAGACCCGTGGTCTGGAGAGAAACAGGCGTCAGGTGGTGTGGGATGAGTCAATATTTGTCCCTTTAGGCCAAAGAGCACCAGAGGAATTGCTGGTGGATCCTGAGC